ACCATTTCACAAAGTATTGTCATTTGACAAAGTATTATCATTTCACAAAGTATTATCATTTAAAAAAGTATTATCATTTGACAAAGTATTATCATTTCACAAAGTATTATCATTTGAAAAAGTATTATCATTTCACAAAGTATTTTCATTTCACAAAGTATTTTCATTTGACAAAGTATTATCATTTCACAAAGTATTATCATTTAAAAAAGTATTATCATTTGACAAAGTATTGTCATTTGACAAAGTATTATCATTTCACAAAGTACCATTTCACAAAGTATTATCATTTAAAAAAGTATTATCATTTCACAAAGTATTATCATTTGAAAAAGTATTATCATTTCACAAAGTATTGTCATTTGACAAAGTATTATCATTTGAAAAAGTATTATCATTTCACAAAGTATTATCATTTCACAAAGTATTATCATTTCACAAAGTATTATCATTTGAAAAAGTATTATCATTTCACAAAGTATTATCATTTGACAAAGTATTGTCATTTGACAAAGTATTATCATTTCACAAAGTATTATCATTTGACAAAGTGTTATCATTTAAAAAAGTATTATCATTTCACAAAGTATTATCATTTCACAAAGTATTATCATTTCACAAAGTATTGTCATTTGACAAAGTATTATCATTTCACAAAGTATTATCATTTGACAAAGTATTATCATTTGAAAAAGTATTATCATTTCACAAAGTATTATCATTTCACAAAGTATTATCATTTCACAAAGTATTATCATTTGAAAAAGTATTATCATTTGAAAAAGTATTATCATTTCACAAAGTATTATCATTTGACAAAGTATTGTCATTTGACAAAGTATTATCATTTCACAAAGTATTATCATTTCACAAAGTATTATCATTTCACAAAGTGTTATCATTTAAAAAAGTATTATCATTTCACAAAGTATTATCATTTCACAAAGTATTATCATTTCACAAAGTATTGTCATTTGACAAAGTATTATCATTTCACAAAGTATTGTCATTTGACAAAGTATTATCATTTGAAAAAGTATTATCATTTCACAAAGTATTATCATTTCACAAAGTATTATCATTTGAAAAAGTATTATCATTTGAAAAAGTATTATCATTTCACAAAGTATTATCATTTGACAAAGTATTGTCATTTGACAAAGTATTATCATTTCACAAAGTGTTATCATTTCACAAAGTATTATCATTTCACAAAGTGTTATCATTTAAAAAAGTATTATCATTTCACAAAGTATTATCATTTAAAAAAGTATTATCATTTCACAAAGTATTATCATTTGAAAAAGTATTATCATTTGACAAAGTATTATCATTTCACAAAGTATTATCATTTGATAAAGTATTATCATTTCACAAAGTATTAGTACAAAATGGTTCTCTTGTTATCCTATAACAGATACTGATATGGCACATCAATCATGTAATCATCTGCTAAATATACAGTAGACTAGCAGGAACTTTGGTAGCTGGAACTTTAGATATTTGGGAGGCAGTGATTTTACCCAAAAATACATACCGTTCCTGGACCTGGTTGGAAATATAGTTTGTTTGCAGGTTTTCCTGAAATATGAATCATTCATACATGCACTCACCTTGAATAATACACATTTGGTCCTTACTGTTCATCTATCAAGTGTGATGACTTACTATCTCAATGAACTGTTAAATCATTAGTGTTGGGAATTGGTTGAAATCTCACAATTGATGATTGATTCATTACCAATGAACAATCATCGAAAAAAATTGGTTAGCGTCATTTAACGCCAGGTTGTTATTGCAGATATGAAAAACATGATGCAACTTGCTACTTAAAGTGATGACTAATATATCATGAACATAAACTTCCCGGAGTCTTTAAGAAATATTCAGTCATGGCTTTTCAGTTAGTGAAGTGAGTTTTCAAAGAATTAAACACGTTTTCAGGCCCTGACACTTCAACGATATGTTCCATTGTGAAGTAATTTAAAGACTAAAACAGTAGTTCCAAAATCGTTTATGTTCGAGAAAATGTGATCGATTGCTTGATTGTTTGGTCACTGCGACCAATCTTCGATTATTTCAACTAATCGGACCACTACTATAAATCATAGAATCAGAATGAAAATGTTTTTGTAAATGCATATGAGGAATAAAAGCTATTTATGATGCTTACCTGTGGGTATAAAGCAACAACAACAAATGTGTCAGTATCTTTACCTTAATTCACAGCAACATATGGAAAACATTAACTACATAGTGCCTCTTCAGCCATGTTCAGATAGTCTCTCTTCAGTCCTACTCGGCCCGTGAAGATCTGGGATAGAATAGGTCTTGAGCAACCCGTGCTTGCCATTCAAGGCGACTATGCTTGTCGTAAGAGGCGACTAACGGGATCGGGTGGTCAGGCTCGCTGACTTGGTTGACACATGTCATCGGTTCCCAATTCGCAGACCGATGCTCATGCTGTTGATCACTGGATTGTCTAGTCCAGACCCGATTATTTACAGACTGCCGCCATATAGCTGGAATATTGCTGAGTGTGGCGTAAAACTAAACTCACTCACTCAGTCCTACTCTTTGCTTATAACGAAGTGTTTGATTTTTTATTTAAACATATTTATTCAAGAGAATGGATTGGGTACAAGTTATGCCAACTTAGTGAAACCCTCTCCTATTTACAGTGCTTACATGCAAATGTGAAACAAACTATATGTACAGGGATAGAAAGATATATACAAAATGATATATACAAAATGATATATACAATACAATTAATACATGAATTATTTAGATCATAAACATTATATCCAATTACTGAACCTTTTGGAGTTTGATATATATTTTAGAACTTCTTTAAAAATTTGAATATTGTCACTGAACGGAGATCTGCACAGCCATTTAATAGTACATCTAGGTTTGTTGGTGATCTAATGTTACAAATTCTGCTAATATTTTGAAACATTTCCTGTCTGATATTAGAATACAAAGAACATTCCATAAAATAATGATGAGAATTTTCACAGGTAAATTTACAATTACATTCAGGGTTCTCTTTAAGACCAATTCTATATAGATCACCATTTAATCTACTATTTGAATATCTTAGCTGGGTATGAATTACATTGAGTTTTCTATTACCAAATGAGAAATATCCTGGTGCTTTTGACTTACGCGAGCTTATATGCGATTTAATTTTTTTAAGGGAAACTGATTCTCTAACATATAAAGGGAGATTATTCCAAAGTTGTGAAGATGATGGGAAAAATGATTGACTGTAGAGATTTGTGCGGGAATAAGACAGTCAAAGATCACGAATGTTTCTAAGATTATAATTTCTCCTAGATTCAACAGTTTGAGGCATAAGATCACAAAGGTAGGATGGAGCATTTTTGTTGTAGATATTATAGAATAAAGACAGTTTATGACATGTTTTCCTTTTAACAATTGCCAACCTGTTTCATACATCAGAGTATCTCTAGTACCATATTTTGGTAATCCGGTAACTATCCTGGCGGCCTCAAACTGCACTTTTTCAATTTTATCGGTTAAATCTACCAAACAACCATCCCACAATTCACAAGCATATTCAAGATGTGGTCTTATAAATACAATATAAATCTTATTTAGAGTGTCTCTGTTTAACATGAACTTTAATTTTCTCATTGATGAAACCATCAAGGACGTTGTTCTTACAATGTTATCAATATGGGTGTTCCATATACAATCAGAAGGAAATGTTACTCCAAGATGTTTGAGATTTTTCCAAACGTACACACTGATTTTCAAATTCTATATTTAGAATTGAAGTATTTTTCTTAAGACTGAGAAGTATAGCTTCTGTTTTGTTGGGATTGTGTCACAAGCCAACGTTTTGCCCAGCACGATAAATATTGTAGGCTCCTATTGAGTGTCTCTTGCATAAGCCTGTGATTGATAGATGAAAATCCCATTGATGTATCATCTGTGAACAAGCGTGCAGCAAAACGAAGTGTTTAATTGTTTATCTTGTTTAAAGTGGATAAACACACTGTGTTTTCGATGTAAAGTTATGATAGCTGAAGCTTTGATGGCCCTTAAATATACATTCTAATACACACACAAAATCTAATAAATGCAGCAAGATTAAACTTTGCACAGTCACATGAAATCGACAGACCAACTCTGATGATTTGTCTCATAATTTTGGACACCCGAATGAAAAAGTTGTTTAACAAACGATCATTATTTTGTTGTCACTTCTTGCTATGTCTTACGAGGGGGAACCACTCGATGTCTAAGGTCTGAAAACCAATGCCTTCTTGCAGTACCAAACTCAAGCCTACACTCCTACAGCAACAGATCGTTTCAAGTAGCAGGACCTCAGTTATGGAACTCACTACCTAAGAACATTAAAGAATCCCCGACCCTTGAGACATTCAAAACCAACCTAAAAACCTTTCACTTCAGAAAGTTCTATCCCCACGAACTATCTCCTCCCGTGAACTTCTCATCTGTGACTATTGTAGCGCCTTGAGCGTGCACCTCTGTGGATGGAAACTAGCGCAATATAAATAGACATTATTATTATTATGGTGTCGGTTTCAGGATGGTGTGATGTCATGTCACAGATTATGTGATGGTGTGATGTCATGTCACAGATTATGTGCTGGTGTGATGTCATGTTACAGATTATGTGCTGGTGTGATGTCATGTGACAGATTATGTGCTGGTGTGATGTCATGTGACAGATTATGTGCTGGTGTGATGTCATGTGATGTCACAGATTATGTGATGGTGTGATGTCATGTCATGTCATGTTAGATGCTGTGTGTGCTGTCATGTCATGTCACAGATTATCATGTGATGTCATGTCACAGATTATGTGCTGGTGTGATGTCATGTCACAGATTATGTGCTGGTGTGATGTCATGTGACAGATTATGTGCTGGTGTGATGTCATGTCACAGATTATGTGCTGGTGTGATGTCATGTCACAGATTATGTGATGGTGTGTGTTTCAGGATGGACTGATGCTGGGTGCAGTCTGTCAACAGACCAGCTGTGATGGGACCCTGCTGCGTGATGGTAGGCGATACAGCTACTCCACCGCTGCTTCTACAGCGTCTTGTCTCAGTGTCAGTCAGGCTCACATGATAGACACTGGATGTGTTTCTTACAACATGTTCTGCAATGTGAATTCAGTGTGTATGTCTGATGTTGATGATGGCGGGGTACTCACCAAGGATTTATCTAGAATTCCCCACTAAGTGCCTTTGTTCAAAATCAGAGGTCACAGTATTTAGTAAATTGTTCAGTAATTTTGAATTTTTAGATTCATACTTGGAAATATAACTGTGATCTGCTGCCGACTTTGGGCTAAATGTCTGTATCTGAGAAGGTCTTGATTAATCTTGGTCACAGTGTCGCCTGCATGGTGTCGCCTTATATGGCTGCAAACTGATGACGACAATTGCTGCTTTATTTCAGAGAAGATCCTGTTGGGTGTTTCTATTTCACATGAAGTTTTCTGTTGACACAAGTGCTCATGACCTTTTGTCTTTTCATTAAGCTTTATGTGATACTTTTGCAATTACTTCCACATTATTATTGACCCGTGAAGGTCTAGGTTAGAATTGGTCTTCAGTAACCCATGCTTGTCGTAAGAGGCGACTAACAGGATCGGGTGGTCAGGCTTGGTTGACACATGTCATCGGTTCCCAATTGCACAGATCGATGCTCATGCTGTTGATCACTGGATTGTCTGGTCCAGACATGATTATTTGCAGGCCGCCGCCATATAGCTGGAATATTGCTGATTATTACCCACGTGGTCAACGTATGGGTAGTTGCATACTAATCTCGTACGTCACACGAGTGTCGTATCACATTGACCTGTGTCGTAACGACTTGACTGGATAACCGATGACCTCTCAATTAGGTCACGTTCTGATGTAACTATTTTTTCTATTTTATTGCTGAATGCTGCATTAAACAACAACACAACCAACCAACCAACCAACCATGACAATCATGATAATTCTGCTTTTGGGGGATAGTGATAACGCTGTGTTTTCATTGATGTGAGATGACTTGAATGCTACTGTTGATTACAGGTACAGCATTCTCGGCCTGCCAGTCCTGTCAGCTGGTGTGTAGTGACGAGGCATACAAGTCACAGGTGCAGACAGTGATGGAGGAGTCCCAGACAGCACTGAAAACACTAGCCGACCTGAAGAAATCTGGAGGTGTGATATTCAGCCAAAACAGTAGTTAACGTGTTACATTTGGGATTAAACTTTCTTAGTTAAGTACAGATTCTGGTACTTTTGTTGGGTTGGGGTGGTGGTGGGGAAGCCTAGTGGTTAAAGCGTTCGCTCATCACGCAAAAGACCCGGGTTCGATTCCCAACATGGGTACAATGCATGAAGCCCATTTCTAGTGTCTCACTTTTGTTTGGTCGAGTCCCATCGGGATTCGATCCTACTAGGGCTGCAACAATTCTGTTCGATTCATCAAAAATCAAATCTGACACGTTAGTTTTGATTTTCAATAACCAATATCACTATTTTGATTCGATATTTGAATACCTATTTAAATTATTTCCACATAACCAGAATGTAATTTTGACTCCAACTTGAGCAGTTTTGAGCCCTGAAATAAGGCGAAACATGATTGGTTGACGTTGAGAATTGAGAATTGTTAGTAGACATTGCCAAGTTGACGTTGGATTTGAGGCTAAAAACGCCGACTCTGAGAGTTAAATGAAATCTGATGGTTTTATTTGTATGAAGAATCGAATCGAAAATGATCGAATTGAGGGTCCAATATCGAAAATTGAATCGAATCAAATCTGGGTGAATCGTTGCAACCCTAGATCCCACACCCCAGAGTCAGGCACCTAATCGCCAGCACACAAAATGAGACGCCAAACCTGCTCACAAACCAGCCACAGCGGCTTCGTCTTGTTTTTTATGCTGTTGATTTGTTGCCTGACTCTGAGGGACGGGGCTCAACCCAACGAAAGAATCTGTACTTTACAGAGAAAGTGTAATTCCAGCTATAACATAGTGTTACATTTGACCACTTTCTAAATGACATTGTGTATTGACACAATGGTTGACGTGTGGCTGGACTCCTGACAGTGGCAAGCCTGTCACAGACTCCTGACAGTGTTTGGAGCAGAGTGGCACAGACTTTTATAGAGCCACAATTCACCATGCAGACATGAATCAGTTGGGTGAAACAAGAAGTCCTGGGTTTGAACCCAGATTTGCCATGGTTGTGGTGCTTGTGAGTTGCAGGAAAGTGATAAATGACTGACAGTTGCCTCAAACACAATCTGCAAAAGGTTCAGTTAAAGATTAGATTCCCCTGAGGCCTAAAAAAACTGTTGTGGTTACGATTACCCGACCGACCCTTGAATTCTGGTGCCGACCCTATTTTATTTAAGCGGTATGAATAAAATACGCATTCAGATACCATTGTTATCCCACCGGCATGTAATGCGGTGGGATATAGTCGTCGCCTAAATCCGATCCGTCCGTCCGATCCATCCGTCCGTAATCATTTTGTTTCGGACATAACTCAAAGACCGTTCGATATTTTTTAACCAAAATTGGTAGATATGTCAAACATAACCTAAGGTGGTGCCTTTTGCTAGTTACAGATTATTGTCATTTTTATTTTTCTCGGTTTCCATGGAAACGTTTTGGACTTAGTCTTAAAGAAGGGTGGGCTTCGTTTCCGGAGCATAACTCAAGAACCGTTCAATATTTTTCAACAAAACTTGGTAGATATATCAAACAGATCCTATAGTGGTGCCTTTTGCTATTTACAGATTTTTAGCATTTTTTCCTTTTCTGGTTTCCATGGAAACATTTTGGACTTAGTCTCAAAAAGTAAGGATTGCTTTCGCTTTCGGACATAACTCAAGAACCGTTCTATATTTTTCAACAAAACTTGGTAGATATATCAAACAGATCCTAAAGTGGTGCCTTTTGCTATTTACAGATTTTTAGCATTTTATTTTTCCCCGGTTTCCATGGAAACGATTCGACTTAGTCCCAAAAGTGAGGGGTGGGCTTCGTTTCGAGCATAACTCAAGAACCGTTCAATATTTTTCAACAAAACTTGGTAGATATATCAAACAGATCCTATAGTGGTGCCTTTTGCTATTTACAGATTTTTAGCATTTTTCCTTTCTGGTTTCCATGGAAACATTTTGGACTTAGTCTCAAAAGTAAGGATTGCTTTCGTTTCGGAGCATAACTCAAGAACCGTTCTATATTTTCAACAAAACTTGGTAGATATATCAAACAGATCCTAAAGTGGTGCCTTTTGCTATTTGCAGATTTTGGCATTTTATTTTTCCCGGTTTCCATGGAAACGATTCGACTGAGTCCCAAAAGAGAGGGGTGGGCTTCGTTTCCGGAGCACAACTCAAAAACTTCTCAATGTCTTTCAGCAAAACTTGGCAGATATGTGAGGCAGATCCCAAAGTGGTGCCTTTTGCTATTTGCAGATATTTGTGATTTATTATTTTTTTGGTTTCCATGGAAATGATTCAGACTTAGTCTCAAAAGGAAGGGGTGGGTTTCGTTTTCGGAGCATAACTCAAGAACCGTTCAATATTTTTCGACAAGACTTGGTAGATATATCAAACAGAACCTTAAGTGGTGCCTTTTGCTATTTACAGATTTTTAGCATTTTTACTTTTCACGGTTTCCATGGAAACGATTCGGACTTAGTCCCAAAAGTGAGGGGTGGGCTTCGTTTCCGGAGCATAACTCAAGAACCGTTCTATATTTTTCAACAAAACTTGGTAGATATATCAAACAGATCCTATAGTGGTGCCTTTTGCTATTTACAGATTTTTAGCATTTTTGCCTTTTCTGGTTTCCATGGAAACAATTCGGACTTAGTCCCAAAAGTGAGGGGTGGGCTTCGTTTCCGGAGCACAACTCAAAAACTTCTCTATATCTTTCAGCAAAACTTGGCAGATATGTGAGGCAGATCCCAAAGTGGTGCCTTTTGCTATTTGCAGATATTTGTGATTTATTATTTTCTCAGTTTCCATGGAAATGATTCAGACTTAGTCTCAAAAGGAAGGGGTGAGTTTTAGGTTTCCGAGCACAAGTGGATAAGTTCTTAATATCTTTCAGCAAAACTTGGCAGATATGTGAGGCAGATGCCAAAGTGGTGCCTTTTGCTATTTGCAGATATTTGTGTTTTATTATTTTCTCAGTTTCCATGGAAACAATTTGGACTTAGTCTCAAAAGGGAGGGGTAGGTTTTGTTTCCGGAGCACAACTCGAAAACTTCTCTATGTCTTTCAGCAAAACTTGGCAGATATGTGAGGCAGATCCCAAAGTGGTGCCTTTTGCTATTTGCAGATTTTTGTCATTTATTTTTTCATGATTTCCATGGAAACGATTTGCACTTAGTCTAAATCAAGCTGGACTTTAAGTAACTGTCAGATGATTTGTTCTTTCAAAGATGTGGGGGCCGGGGATATGTCATCTTCTGATGACTCTTGTTTTTCACGGCACGGACGGGCGTCGGTCATTCTGATAGAGAAAGTCGACATGGCCGCAAGCTTGATAAATGTGTTATTAGTTTGTAAATTTTACTTTTACAAAATGAAAAAAAAAAAAAAAATTCTACCTACCTACCTACCCTAAATTTTAAAGAGCTGTAATTGGAACCGCAACATATTTTCTATTTGGCCTGATTAGGTTTCTCGTGGCATTAGCATCTTTTCACTATAGTAGTTAAGATCTGCTATTGTCTGTTTTCCCTGATAATATGACCACTAGATGGCTTAAGCTGTCGTCAAACCTACTCATTGTATAAGTACATATTCCTACATACTATGGCTAACATGATTAGAATGTACCCATGTGTAATCTGAAATCTGGTGGTCACTGTAATTTGACAGCAGCCCCCATTTCCCTAACAATGGGCAGCAGTCTGTTCTTTTGCCATGCAATATCATATTAAGCATGTGCTACTTAGTTGATTTGTAGTCCTCGTTCTTCTGCTGATGATAATGACCTCAAACAAAGTTACCCAATTTCAAGCAGATGTGGGCGGTGGGGTAGCCTAGTGGTTAAAGCGTTGGCTCGTCACGCCGAAGACCCGGTTCAATCCCCAAAGGGTACAATGTGTGAAGCCCATTTCTGGTGTCCCCCTCCGTGATGTTGCTGGAATATTGCTAAAAGCGGCGTAAAACCAAACTCAGTCAGTCAAGCAGATGTGGTGGTGTTGACGGGTACCCTATTCACTTGTGTTACAGATCCTGAGACCAGGCTGCGAGTCTGTAAGGAACTGCTGAGGAAGCAGAGAGTTCTCTCCCCTTTCAATGTGTACCGTGTGAAGACACTGGACCAAGCAATGGACGCCTGCATCGACAGCCAGCAGTGGGAACATGCAGTGGACTTCGGCCAGCAGACAGTGCAGCCTTATATGTAAGTACAGTCAAATCCCGATGAGTCGAATCAGCTGGGGACCAAGTAAAAGATTCGGCTTATTGATGTATTCGACATAGGTATGTCTATGAGGGTAGAAAAAAGATGATTCAATATTGAACAATTCCTTTATTCAGCACATCATATCTAAATATAGCACAACAATACATTAGGTGACTTAGATAATGGATAATAATGGATAATGGAAACAAACATTATACAAATGAGAACACATTTCAATACTAGCACAATAAAATACAAAATACATTTACCTCTTAAAATCCATGAACAAAATCTATCGGCAATCGATAGATATACTTGTACATGCCGCCATCTTGAATCTTATTAATACAAAAGATGAACTCACTTCTGGAAAAAGTCTGACATTAATGTTTGTTTCTGTGAATTTCCATTACATTTATCCGCAAATTCACGGACGCTTGCCAAGTGGGAAAAATGTTAGTTGATTGTACCTGGAACCGACTTCGAGAAATTCCTCAAGTCCTTCACAGAACTTTATAAGCCTCGATAACGGATGGTGGTGGTTTGACGGACAGGGTGTCTCGTCTTCATCATCAGACGAAGTCGCCGTTGTGACAGGTGCTAATTCTTCTGTTTCCGTGAAATCACTAATCAGCCTTTTGAACTCACCCGACAATAGCGGAAAGGTGCGCGCTGGTTTTGTTAATTGCCAGCATGGTTTGTCAATACCGGCATCAATTCGGGACCAAATAAAAATGCGGTTTTGATCAGGTTACATGATAGTTGGATCTTTGTGCCGATAGAGACAGAGTGCGGTGTTTACAATTAACTTCTTCTCATTGACTGATTTCGCTTATGTATACAAGATTACTATTGTTTGAATCTCAAGGGACCAAATTTCCATTTCGAGTCATCGTGTGTATTTATGAGACGAATTCGTGTAACTGGTAATCAAATGATGACAAAAGAGCAGGGAATGGTCGGGACCGACAGGTACTTCGTGTTATGCATAATATTCGAGACACCGGCATTCGACTCATCAGGATTTGACTGTATGTATTGTGTAGTTTGGTAGTGATGACAAAACAGGAATGTTTATTGATACTTCAGGGGAGCTGGACTACTGAGATGTCTGGTGTCACTGTTGCTGTTTCAGCTGCTGATTTAGCATAATGGATATAATGAAAACATTGTATGCTGGCTTCTTTTTATTGAATTTGGCGCTTGTGCTGCTATTTATGGACACCGTGAAGATCCAGTTAGAATTGATTTTTGGTAACCCATGCCTGTCGTAAAGAGGCGACTTCGCTGGATCAAGCGGTCGGGTTCGCGAGACTTGGTTGACCAACGTCATTGTATCCCAATTGAGTAGATCGATGGTCATGATATTTGTCGCTGGATTGTCTGATCCAGATTCAATTATTCACAGACTGACGCCATATAAGTGGAATAGTGTGGTGTTTATCAACAAATAATTATGAAATTCACAGGCTAATACTGATCTGAACTCCGATTACAGAATGGAATTCAAATATTTGGAAGGACTTGAATATTTCATATGGGAACAAACCAACAGATGTAGAGAGTTATTGTCCCCAGCTGCAACGTATGTATTCAAGCTGAACGGGGGACTATGTATTCAGCGGCGTCTGTCCGTCCGACACCAGTCAATTTTGTTACATATTTCATGAACTGTTGTACCCAATGTCTTCAAATTTGGTGACAGCCTACATTAGGGGATTACGACACCAGTTTATCTTCAAGGTCACCACGACACTTTGACTGCTTTTCAAACTTTTTAAACCAGTATCTCATAAAACATTGCACCCAATGTTTTCAAGTATGTCGACAGCCTACATTGGGTGATTATGCAGACACCAGTCATTTCAGGCATCTTGTATGTGACCAAAAAATAAAAAGTAGTAAATATAGATATTCCATTCTTTAGCGGCGGGGGACATTGCCATATCAGTGAATAAATTTGGCACTAGCATCTTGAAATAAACGAACACGATGATTGAGCTGATCAGCTTATTTTCTAAAACTGTTTGTTTATGTAAGAAATGCCCATATGATGACTCGACATCTGCTAGAAAAATATATAACCACGAACCTTGTGAAGTTTAAGTAACATTTTTCAAACTAACACAACACAGAAAACATTCCTGATGGTGCAGAACATCAGCTTTACAATGCATCTAATTCCAGCATACACGTCTTCAGTGACTTTGTCCACCACTCATAAAGCCCCATTTTGTAGTCGTAATTGAAAACCACCTTTCTAAACATTTCCTGCCTGACTGACCACAAAACTTGACAGTGTCTTTATACTTCACATAAAGATAATCTGATGATATTTTATACTTGTGTGTTTGAAGTCAGTGACATCAAACATTGTGAAATTTTTGCTTAGGCTGTCTTTTACGTAGTGTAGACTTGTATAAATAGTTATTGGTAGTCATCTGTGATAGTATGTCAGTCATAATCATTGGTTGTGTGTGTTACATGGAAACAATGAAAACCATAAATCACTGTTAATGGAAACTCCTGTGCCTTCAGTTTCATCTGGGGCGTCCTTGACATGTATGACAAACGTCTCCCTTTCTACCTTGTTCCTCACTATGCAGGGCCAGTCGTGTGGGGAGGAGGAACTGGCTGGAATTCTAAGGATTAAGTCAGACATACAGTGGGGCTGGGCATATAGGAACAAAGTCAGTCCATTCTTCCTTCTGTTCATCCTTCAATTCTTCCTTCATTCTGTTCGGTCGGCTTCTTAATGGGGATAAATTTTCTCAGAAATATTGGAGAATTTAAGATTAACAGTCTGGTCACTGGTGTCACTGGTCATGAGTTTGAAAATTGGATGCCAAAATAATAGTTAGTGTTATAGCCATTGCTTCATGATTTCCAGCTTCCAGTGGGGACCAGTCTTCCCAGATACTACCGAACTTACATGGATGAAACTTTGCAAGCTTGACAATAATATTTATCAAGCTTACATTTGAACAGTGGTACTATAATATCCTTTAGAGAGTTGCTCAATGCATGCCATTCTTATTGCTTTGAGCACACAGTTATGTCCCTTGATTGAAATTACACATTATCAGTGCATAGCTTGTGAATGGTGTCAAGTATCTTCAATAAGTTAAATGAAGTAATCAATCCAGAGTTCCAAATTGGTGCCATGAATTACTCCTGGAGAAGGGTCCCTTTGAGTAAATTTAATTTACATCTAATTATTTTCCTCTTTTTGTAGTTCATATTTACTTAGTTATTAATTTATTCATTACCGTAAGACACACAATAACTCTCATGTGCCTCATGACATGGTAGAGTGATATAATTTCAAAGATATCAGATATAAGGTCACTGAGTGTGTCAATATACAATTGTTTCAGGAAGCTGCACCCTCCAGGCTCCCCGACAGTTGGAATACAGCTGTTGAAGCTGGGCAAACTACAGCTGTACCTCCACCGGCTCCAGGCTGCCCGGACATCCCTCCAGCAGGTAGGTAGTCCAGTATTACCTCCACCGGCTCCAGGCTGCCGAGACCTCCCTCCATCAGGTAGGTAGTCCAGTATTACCTCCACTGCTCCAGGCTGCCCGGACATCCCTCCAGCAGGTAGGTAGTCCAGTATTACCTCCACCGGCTCCAGGCTGCCGGACATCCCTCCAGCAGGTAGGTAGTCCAGTATTACCTCCACCGGCTCCAGGTTGCCCGGACATCCCTCCAGCAGGTAGGTAGTCCAGTATTACCTCCACCGGCTCCAGGTTGCCCGGACATCCCTCCAGCAGGTAGGTAGTCCAGTATTACCTCCACCGGCTCCAGGCTGCCCAGACCTCCCTCCATCAGGTAGGTAGTCCAGTATTACCTCCACCGGCTCCAGGCTGCCCGGACATCCCTCCAGCAGGTAGGTAGTCTAGTATTACCTCTACCGGCTCCAGGCTGCCCGGACATCCCTCCATCAGGTAGGTAGTCCAGTATTACCTCCACCGGCTCCAGACTGCCCGGACATCCCTCCAGCTGGTAGGTAGTCCAGTATTACCTCCACCAGCTCCAGGCTGCCCGGACCTCCCTCCAGCAGGTAGGTAGTCCAGTATTACCTCCACCGGCTCCAGGCTGCCCGGACATCCCTCCATCAGGTAGGTAGTCCAGTATTACCTCCACCGGCTCCAGGCTGTCCGGACATCCCTCCAGCAGGTAGGTAGTCCAGTATTACCTCCACCGGCTCCAGGCTGCCCGGACATCCCTCCAGCAGGTAGGTAGTCCAGTATTACCTCCACCGGCTCCAGGCTGTCCGGACATCCCTCCAGCAGGTAGGTAGTCCAGTATTACCTCCACCAGGCTCCAGGCTGCCCGACATCCCTCCAGCAGGTAGGTAGTCTAGTATTACCTCCACCGGCTCCAGGCTGCCCGGACATCCCTCCAGCAGGTAGGTAGTCCAGTATTACCTCCACCAGCTCCAGGCTGCCCGGACATCCCTCCAGCAGGTAGGTAGTCCAGTATTACCTCCACCGGCTCCAGGCTGTCCGGACATCCCTCCAGCAGGTAGGTAGTCCAGTATTACCTCCACCGGCTCCAGGCTGCCCGGACATCCCTCCAGCTCCAGCAGGTTGGTAGTCTAGTATTACCTCCACCGGCTCCAGGCTGCTCAGTTGTCTCTCCAGCTCCATCAGGTAGGTAGTCAGTATTACCTCCACCGGCTCCTGGGGCTGCCCGGACATCCTCTCCATCATGTAGGTAGTCCAGTATTACCCCACCGGCTCCAGGCTGCCAAGTTGTCTCTCCATTTCCAGCTGGTAGGTAGTCAGTATTACCTCCACCCGGCTTCAGGCTGCCCGGACCTCCCTCCAGCAGGTAGGTAGTCCAGTATTACCTAGTTGTAGAGCCAACAGGTGCCCGGACATCCCTCCAGCAGGTAGGTAGTCCAGTATTACCTAGTTGTAGCCAACAGGTGCCCGGACCTCCCTCCAGCAGGTAGGTAGTCCGGTATTACCTAGTTGTAGCACCAACAGGTCCCCCGGCTTGTAGACATTGCAGTCCAATCCAATCAGAGGAGAAGAATGTTGTAGGCTTGTATCTGAATGTTTCCCTTTCTTTGCAGGCTGAGTCCATCCTGAGAGTGACACATGGCGAGTCACATGAGGTGTATCAGGAGCTGAGTGAACTACTGCATCGATGTGTGGCCGAGATGGAACACAGCGAGGGCTGATCCAGTGAGGTGATGCATCGATGTGTGGCCGAGATGGAACACAGCGAGGGCTGATCCAGTGAGGTGATGCATCTATGTGTGGCCGAGATGGAACACAGCAAGGGCTGATCCAGTGAGGTGATGCATCTATGTGTGGCCGAGATGGAACACAGCTGAGGGCTGATCCAGTGAGGTGATGCATCGATGTGTGGCCGAGATGGAACACAGCGAGGGCTGATCCAGTGAGGTGATGCATCTATGTGTGGCCGAGATGGAACACAGCGAGGGCTGATCCAGTGAGGTGATGCATCTATGTGTGGCCGAGATGGAACACAGCTGAGGGCTGATCCATTGTGGTGATGCATCGATGTGTGGCCGAGATGGAACACAACGAGGGCTGATCTGGTGAGGTGATGCATCGATGTGTAACAGAAATGGAACACAGTGAGGGGTGATCCGGTGAGGTGATGCATCTATGTGTGGCTGAGATGGAACACAGCGAGGGCTGATCCGGTGAGGTGATGCATCTATGTGTGGCCGAGATGGAACACAGCAAGGGCTGATCCAGTGAGGTGATGCATCTATGTGTGGCCGAGATGGAACACAGCGAGGGCTGATCCATTGTGGTGATGCATCGATGTGTGGCCGAGATGGAACACAGCGAGGGCTGATCCAGTGAGGTGATGCATCTATGTGTGGCCGAGATGGAACACAGCTAGGGCTGATCCAGTGAGGTGATGCATCTATGTGTGGCTGAGATGGAACACAGCGAAGGCTGATCCATTGTGGTGATGCATCGATGTGTGGCCGAGATGGAACACAGCGAGGGCTGATCTGGTGAGGTGATGCATCGATGTGGCCGAAATGGAACACAGTGAGGGGTGATCCGGTGAGGTGATGCATCTATGTGTGGCCGAGATGGAACACAGCGAGGGCTGATCTGGTGAGGTGATGCATCTATGTGTGGCCGAGATGGAACACAGCGAGGGCTGATCCAGTGAGGTGATGCATCTATGTGTGGCCGAGATGGAACACAGCGAGGGCTGATCCAGTGAGGTGATGCATCTATGTGTGGCCGAGATGGAACACAGCGAGGGCTGATCCAGTGAGGTGATGCATCTATGTGTGGCCGAGATGGAACACAGCGAGGGCTGATCCAGTGAGGTGATGCATCTATGTGTGGCCGAGATGGAACACAGCGAGGGGTGATCTGGTGAGGTGATGCATCTATGTGTGGCCGAGATGGAACACAGCGAGGGCTGATCCAGTGAGGTGATGCATCTATGTGTGGCCGAGATGGAACACAGCAAGGGCTGATCTGGTGAGGTGATGCATCTATGTGTGGCGAGATGGAACACAGTGAGGGCATGATCTGGTGAGGTGATGCATCGATGTGTGGCGAGATGGAACACATCGAGGGCTGATGATCCAAGTGTGGTGATGCATCATGCAAGGGCTGATCCAGTGAGATGGATCGATGTGTGTGTAGAACAAGAGATGGAACACAGTGAGGGCTGATCTGGTGAGGTGATGCATCGATGTGTGGCAGAGATGGAACACAGTGAGGGGTGATCCAGTGAGAGGTGATGCATCTATGATGTGGCTGAGATGGAACACAGCGAGGGGCTGATCCAGTGAACTGGTGATGCATCTATGTGTGAACCAGAGATGGAACACAGCGAGGGCTGATCTGGTGAGGTGATGCATCTATGTGTGGCTGAGATGGAACACAGTGCAGAGGCTGATCCAGTGAACTGATGCATCTATGCATGAGCGAGAGGCTGAGATGGATCATCAGCTGAGGGTGCTGATCCAGTGAACTGGTGCATCAGTGAGGTGATGCATCTAGGTGTCCAGTGAACTGAGTGTGAACACAGCGAGGGCTGATCCAGTGAACTGGTGCATCAGTGTGGCAAGCTTTGAATGGAACACAGCGTGAGGGGCTGATCCAGTGAACTGGTGCATCAGTGTGAACACAGCAAGGGCTGATCCAGTGAACTAGTGCATCAGTGTGAACACAGCAAGGGCTGATCCAGTGAACTGGTGCATCAGTGTGAACACAGCATCAGGGCTGATCCGAAGTGAACTGGTGCATCTGATCCAGTGAACTGGTGCATCAGTGTGAACACAGCAAGCTGATCCAGTGAACTGGTGCATCAGTGTGGCAAAACACAGCAAGGGCACAGCAAGATCCAGTGAACTGAGTGCATCAGTGTGGGGTGCACAGCAGCAGCGGGCTGATCAGTGAACTGGTGCATCAGTGTGAACACAGCAAGCCTGATCCAGTGAACTGATGCATCAGTGAACTGCAAGCATCAGTGTGAACACAGCAAGCAAAGCTGATCCAGTGAACTGGTGCATCAGTGTGAACACAGCAAGCTGATCCAGTGAACTAGTGCATCAGTGTGAACACAGCAAGGGCTGATCCAGTGAACTGGTGCATCAGTGTGAACACACAGCAAGGGCTGATCCAGTGAACTGGTGCATCAGTGTGAACACAGCAAGGTGCATCAGTGTGAACTGATCCAGTGAACTGGTGCATCAGTGTGAACACAGCAAGGGCTGATCAAGTGAACTGGTGCATCAGTGTGAACACAGCAAGGGCTGATCCAGTGAACTGGTGCATCAGTGTGAACACAGCAAGGGCTGATCCAGTGAACTGGTGCATCAGTGTGAACACAGCAAGGGCTGATCAAGTGAACTGGTGCATCAGTGTGAACACAGCAAGGGCTGATCCAGTGAACTGGTGCATCAGTGTGAACACAGCAAGGGCTGATCCAGTGAACTGGTGCATCAGTGTGAACACAGCAAGCGCTGATCCAGTGAACTGGTGCATCAGTGTGAACACAGCAAGCGCTGATCCAGTGAGCTTGGAGGTGCAGTCGGAACACAGGTAGTTGGGATCTTTGCTAGAGTTCTTTCTCCATCAATTTACACATGTGCTGTAACACACCATCATTCTCTTGTTAAAAAGAGAAAAAGGTTATACCTATGTGAAGACTCAAGCATATTATACAAATCAATACCCTGGAGGATGAAAAAGGAAGAGCTGTCTAAGCAATACCACTGGAGGATGAAAAGGATTGTAGAGCTGTTCCAAAATAAGCACACTTGACTTTAACATGTGAAAAGCAATGATTTGAGGTGGTTGTTAACCTTCCGGTGACACGTACGAAAACACTGAATATGTCGGTCAACATAATCTTGGTCAACTAGATTCAATCTTAGTTTCATTACCACCGTCATTAGTAGTGGTGGTCCGATTAATTGAAATAATCGAAGATTGGTCGCAGTGACTAAACGACCAAGCAATCGATCATGTTTTCTCATAATCGAACACAAACAATTCTGGAACACTTGTTTTCATAAACAATATTTTTCAGAAGGTTGGTTTTGTCTGTTACATTTCATAAGCACTACAAGCTCGTTTCAAGTCATGATTGAATTTATCTTAAAGACTCCAAGAAATATATGTTCCTGACATACTAGTCATCCTTTAAAGATGTGAACTTTTGCCAAAAACCCCAAAGAACTACCGTATTGTTTGCACTATTACCCGCTCCTGAATATTACCCGCACCCCAGTTTTGGAGTTAATCTCCACAACACAGTCTACACATAACCCGCAACCTTTTGTGCGATTCAGTGTAAAACTAAAAGTAAGACGCGGAATATCTTACAGCAGCCAGGATCTAGCGTACCTTTATTGGGAGTTGCCTTCAAGAAGTTTTCAAAATCGTTCTAATTTGTTATCTTTCTTCTTTGTTATATCCTTTTTTCCGTATTATTTGTTGTAATAAATTGTCACTATTAGTGTCGTTGACCTATTGAACATCGTGTGGCTGACGGATGCGTCGCGGATAAATCATCATGATTTCTTCTGAATAATAAAAATAATCCATTGTCGTTATTACAAAATAGATGATTAAAACTGATGTGTCGTTCTAACTTCTTTGTCTGGCTGCACTGCTACCACTCTCCTACCCAGAGTTCCATGCGGCCAACCTCTGCCACAGGCCAGAAAGATGTGACGTTATTACCACAATTTCGATTTGCGCAGCGATCCTTTGTTTACATGGGTTGTACGGCCCCACGTGCTGTCATCGAAGCTTTATGGAGAGCAAATGATGCAGCCAGTTTGAAATATAAATATGTATTGTCATAATATTTACGTAACAGTGTAAAACTGATATTAGATGTTATGCTAAGTCATCGCTGCGCCGAGTGTGTACTGCGACCTACCACGTGCCAATCAGTCGGGGTTTCCCGGCATGAATTTAGTATAGACAAGTGATTGGCTGAAAATACCACACCCACACAAATTAAGCCAGTAGAAACACTTCAAATTCATATCGCAATAGCAATATACTCATATGGTTAAAAATAACATGAACCACATAAGAATATAAATAAATAACATGCAGAAACTCAAGAGCTAGAATTATTTATTTTGACAAATTATTATTTTGATTAAATATGTATTCTGCCAAAATGGGAATAAAAGCATTTCAGTTCATTTCGTCATCACTGATGGACATTTCACAGTAGCACGCATTCAGGTTACTCGTCTAGGTCGTCACTTTGAAAGCCATCAAAGTCCTCGTCTTCAGTGTCCGAATGGAAGATCTGGGCAATTTCTGGATGTATAATGGAATCTGGATTGTCCATATCTTCATCTTCTGAGACAGACTCAACAAGTACGGCAGCGGCGGCGGCCTGAATGATCTCAGCTCTTCGAAATCCGTTAATGATTGTTGACACACTGATCTTGTCCCATGCCTCTACAATCCACTTGCAAACTTCAGCATAAGTTGCTCTGTTGTCTTCCAGTCTTGGTGAAGGTGTGCTCTCCACTGCACATCCATCTGTCCCAAGAAGCTCTCAGGAGTGTCTTTTAAACACCTATTCACACTAATATCCAGTGATCTGAGCAGCCCTCATAGAATCCATAATAAGATAGTGTTCACTGTCTTCTGAAGATGGAAAAATCCTCCGGTGGTGAGCCCTCATAGAATCCACTGAGACCAGCCTTCTGAGAGCCATCCTGCCCCTCGGCCAAAGCACTGAGAGCCATCCCATCTGCCCCTTCTCCATGTTACACTGGATCACAATGCCACTGGATCACAATGCCAATCTCTTTCTCTTTTGGCTTCGTAATTCTCTTGAATATGACCATGGGTGGAAGCTTCTTTCCAGATGCCGTAACAGCCAGAACAACCGTAAACGCCAGATTGTGACGGTGTCTGCGCCTTGGTTGTCGACTGTCCGGCTCATCTGTATATCGAATGTCAGAGGCACCTCGTCCATGTTGACAATTTGATCAGTAACGATCCCATGGTCTTTGACTACTGAACTGACAATCCTTAAACGTCTCCAGTTTCTCTTGGAATTCAGCTGGTAACGTCTGTGCCATGGTAGTACGGGCCCTTATGGAAAGCTGCTGGCGCTTCATGAACCTGAAGCACCAAGATGGTCCTCCCATAAATTCAGAAATCCCCATCTCCTTTGCAATAACACAGGCCTTCAGATGAATTTGAACAGTGCTCACACCCTGACAGGCAGCTCTCTGTTCAAGGATCCAGTCATGGATACTCTTCTCCAGCGCAGGCCATCTGGCTTTGTTCCCTCGGAAAGACTTTCTTGTTTTCTTCATTTTTCGGAGTTGGTCCTTCTGTTTTCGCCAATATCTTATCAAGGATTCATCAACTCCAAATTTCTGTGCTGACTGACGATTCCCGTTTTCTTCAGCAAACTTGATCGCCTCAAGTTTGAAGGCAGCTGTATAGCTCTTCCGTTTTCGTACTGGCGGCATTGCGTAAATTATCAAAGAATGTGTATCGCAGTGAAAGATGAATAGAATGTGTGATAAATAAATTCTGTCTGAGGGTATTAATAAGGGCAAAG